GGCAAGTGCAGAGGGATTCCCGCTCTTACATGGGATTTGGCCGTTGCGTTGGCCCCTTTGTCACGGAGGTCAAGCCGACCATTGATGGGGGAGGAAAATGACCCGAATCTGAAGTCTGAGGTCTCACTTCCCCCCGCGGATGTTCAAGAGCAAGGAGATTATTGGGCTGGAACGGGCAAAGCCGGATACGAATCTGTGAAACAGGCTGTGTCTAAACTGGCTACAATGTAGGGAGTGTAAGTGGTTAATGGATCTCAGCTGCGGATAACAGAGAGTCTTCCTCAAAACTCCACGAGAGGTGCGGGAAATGTCCCCCCTAGGAGTCTATAACACTGAATAACGCAGAGTATTCCTCAGGCGCTATTGGAGGTGCGGGAAATGTTTCCCCTAGGAGTCTATAACACGGAATAATGCAGAGTATTCCTCAGGCGCTATTGGATGTGCGGGAAATGTTTCCCCCTAGGAGTCTATAACGCAGAGTATTCCTCAAGCGCTATTGGATGTGCGGGAAATGTTTCCCCCTGGGAGTCTATAACACTGAATAATGCAGAGTATTCCTCAGGCGCTATTGGATGTGCGGGAAATGTTTCCCCCTGGGAGTCTATAACACTGAATAATGCAGAGTATTCCTCAGGCGCTATTGGATGTGCGGGAAATGTTTCCCCCTGGGAGTCTATAACACTGAATGATGCAGAGTATTCCTCAGGCGCTTTTGGAGGTGCGGGAAATGTCCCCCCTAGGGGGTCTATAACACTGAATAACGCAGAGTATTCCTCAGGCGCTATTGGAGGTGCGGGAAATGTTTCCCCTAGGAGTCTATAACACTGACTAACGCAGAGTATTCCTCAGGCGCTATTGGAGAGGCGGGAAATGTTTCCCCTAGGAGTCTATAACACTGAATAACGCAGAGTATTCCTCAGGCGCTATTGGAGGTGCGGGAAATGTTTCCCCTAGGAGTCTATAACACTGAATAATGCAGAGTATTCCTCAGGACACACATTGCATACAGAGTCCAGGAAGGACACACATTGTATACAGTGTCCAGGGAGGACACACATTGTATACAGAGTCCAGGGAGGACACACATTGTATACAGAGTCCAGGGAGGACACACATTGTATACAGAGTCCAGGGAGGACACACATTGTATACAGAGTCCAGGGAGGACACAGGAAATGTTTCCCCCTGGGAGTCTATAACACTGAATAATGCAGAGTATTCCTCAGGCGCTATTGGATGTGCGGGAAATGTTTCCCCCTGGGAGTCTATAACACTGAATAATGCAGAGTATTCCTCAGGCGCTTTTGGAGGTGCGGGAAATGTCCCCCCTAGGGGGTCTATAACACTGAATAACGCAGAGTATTCCTCAGGCGCTATTGGAGGTGCGGGAAATGTTTCCCCTAGGAGTCTATAACACTGAATAATGCAGAGTATTCCTCAGGACACACATTGCATACAGAGTCCAGGAAGGACACACATTGTATACAGTGTCCAGGGAGGACACACATTGTATACAGAGTCCAGGGAGGACACACATTGTATACAGAGTCCAGGGAGGACACACATTGTATACAGAGTCCAGGGAGGACACACATTGTATACAGAGTCCAGGGAGGACACACATTGTATACAGAGTCCAGGGAGGACACACATTGTATACAGAGTCCAGGGAGGACACACATTGTATACAGAGTCCAGGGAGGACACACATTGTATACAGAGTCCAGGGAGGACACACATTGTATACAGAGTCCAGGGAGGACACACATTGTATACAGAGTCCAGGGAGGACACACATTGTATACAGAGTCCAGGGAGGACACACATTGTATACAGAGTCCAGGGAGGACACACATTGTATACAGAGTCCAGGGAGGACACACATTGTATACAGAGTCCAGGGAGGACACACATTGTATACAGAGTCCAGGGAGGACACACATTGTATACAGAGTCCAGGGAGGACACACATTGTATACAGAGTCCAGGGAGGACACACATTGTATACAGAGTCCAGGGAGGACACACATTGTATACAGAGTCCAGGGAGGACACACATTGTATACAGAGTCCAGGGAGGACACACATTGTATACAGAGTCCAGGGAGGACACACATTGTATACAGAGTCCAGGGAGGACACACATTGTATACAGAGTCCAGGGAGGACACACATTGTATACAGAGTCCAGGGAGGACACACATTGTATACAGAGTCCAGGGAGGACACACATTGTATACAGAGTCCAGGGAGGACACACATTGTATACAGAGTCCAGGGAGGACACACATTGTATACAGAGTCCAGGGAGGACACACATTGTATACAGAGTCCAGGGAGGACACACATTGTATACAGAGTCCAGGGAGGACACACATTGTATACAGAGTCCAGGGAGGACACACATTGTATACAGAGTCCAGGGAGGACACACATTGTATACAGAGTCCAGGGAGGACACACATTGTATACAGAGTCCAGGGAGGACACACATTGTATACAGAGTCCAGGGAGGACACACATTGTATACAGAGTCCAGGGAGGACACACATTGTATACAGAGTCCAGGGAGGACACACATTGTATACAGAGTCCAGGGAGGACACACATTGTATACAGAGTCCAGGGAGGACACACATTGTATACAGAGTCCAGGGAGGACACACATTGTATACAGAGTCCAGGGAGGACACACATTGTATACAGAGTCCAGGGAGGACACACATTGTATACAGAGTCCAGGGAGGACACACATTGTATACAGAGTCCAGGGAGGACACACATTGTATACAGAGTCCAGGGAGGACACACATTGTATACAGAGTCCAGGGAGGACACACATTGTATACAGAGTCCAGGGAGGACACACATTGTATACAGAGTCCAGGGAGGACACACATTGTATACAGAGTCCATGGAGGACACACATTGTATACAGGGTCCAGGGAGGACACACATTGTATACAGGGTCCAGGGAGGACACACATTGTATACAGAGTCCAGGGAGGACACACACTGTATACAGAGTCCAGGGAGGACACACATTGTATACAGAGTCCAGGGAGGACACACATTGTATACAGAGTCCAGGGAGGACACACATTGTATACAGGGTCCAGGGAGGACACACATTGTATACAGGGAGGACACACATTGTATACAGGGTCCAGGGAGGACACTAGACATCTGCGATTTGTATGTATCTGAATTACATAAATAACGAATGCAAACGAATCCAAATTTCCGATTCATTTTTTTGGGCTAAACTTTTGTTTTTTGGATGAAATTTCGTTGCAGCAAAGCGACATTTGAGAACGAAAAAAACTTTTTTCCCTCTTAAATGTCACTTTGCTGCAACGAACGAACGAAGAGGAAAAGGAAACGAAAGCGTACGCAGACCACCGCTAACGAATGTGGCCCGAATTCCGAAATAAAGCAAAATCCGAATCAAAACGAAACTCATTTTTTGCTGGTGCACATGTCTAGGGGACACACGATGTCGTGGAAGCGGTGGCGTAACAATCGCCATAGCGACCCAGGCGGCCGCTACGGGGCCCGGCCAGGACACCCCCCCTGATGCCGTGCGGACCGCCTGGGTCGCTATGGCTTCGAACGCGCCGCTGTTCAGATCACTGTCAGCCGCTGCTGAGTCAATGAGAACTAGCAGCGGCGGTGGAGGAGGCTGGACCCGGCAAGGGAGGAGGAGGCAGGGTTTCGAGTCCTGTACGTGGTGTGTCCGGGTTTTCGGCTTGCCTGAAACCCGGAAAACAGCACATACAGGACTCAACACTGGAACTGTCCATGTGAATTCCGGGACCGGTGGCAACCCTACTGATGTCTATACTAGTAAATGATCTTTTGTACTCCAGTTGGCCTTTATGGCTTTTCTCCCACCGTCTCTCTTTTAGTGATAGCTACTTCCCATTATTAGGCGGCTGACAAGATGAGCTCCGGGACTACGAAAAATAGTTTTCTATACTTCCTGTAATGCTCTTCTATCCCCCTCAATGGGAGTAGTAATGACCCCATTTATAAGGATATACAGAACATGGACACATCACGAGGTCATGTTCACACTACGAGCGCCGTGTCAGATTCCTCGCATCGTCTTTCAACACGAGGCGGCCCAACGAAGTCATCTCGTGGAGTCACGAGGCCGCCCAACGAAGTCCTCTCGTGGAGTCAAGAGGCGGCCCAACGAAGTCCTCTCGTGGAGTCACGAGGCTGCCCAACGAAGTCATCTCGTGGAGTCACGAGGCGGCCCAACGAAGTCCTCTCGTGGAGTCACGAGGCGGCCCAACGAAGTCCTCTCGTGGAGTCACGAGGCGGCCCAACGAAGTCCTCTCGTGGAGTCACGAGGCGGCCCAACGAAGTCCTCTCGTGGAGTCACGAGGCGGCCCAACGAAGTCCTCTCGTGGAGTCACGAGGCGGCCCAACGAAGTCCTCTCGTGGAGTCACGAGGCGGCCCAACGAAGTCCTCTCGTGGAGTCACGAGGCGGCCCAACGAAGTCCTCTCGTGGAGTCACGAGGCGGCCCAACGAAGTCCTCTCGTGGAGTCACGAGGCGGCCCAACGAAGTCCTCTCGTGGAGTCACGAGGCGGCCCAACGAAGTCCTCTCGTGGAGTCACGAGGCGGCCCAACGAAGTCCTCTCGTGGAGTCACGAGGCGGCCCAACGAAGTCCTCTCGTGGAGTCACGAGGCGGCCCAACGAAGTCCTCTCGTGGAGTCACGAGGCGGCCCAACGTAGTCATCTCGTGGACCAACGAAGTACTGATGGGGTGGTCATAATAATCTGGCCACTCAGTGTACAGTCCATATACACACAACACAAGGCTGCGCTCACACTACGAGACGTTTCTCGGGGATGCAGTTCCTCTGAGCTCCACAAGGTGGTGACCTCACCTATACCGAGACAGGAAGTCTCTATGGAAAACAAAAAACAGGAAGTGATGTAAAGGACAGTGTCGTCGGGTACAGACAGGAAGTTCTAGGTGAGAGGTTGGGAGGAAGTAGAGAGGAGACACATTACTCGAACTGGCAGCAGATGAGGTAATATTTCACTTATCAACCTGAACACATGAGTATGAAAGAAAAGTAATGGTGAGATAAAACATTGGGGGGTTTTCCCTGTAAATGTAGATTCTTTCCTTTCTGAATAGATCTCTGATGTAGGATGAAGTGTTCTAGAGAAACTAACATGTCCCAATGATCTATATACAAGCGTGTTTGATACAATGAATGTTTTATTATATATTCAGATTGGAAACCTCTGGGACTATAATGATATGAAAGAAGAGTATAAAGAGGAGGATGAGGAGTATGGAGTGATGAAGGAGCTTTCTGAAGGACACAAGGATCTCTACAAGAACATTATGGTGGAGCCACCTAGTAAGAGGAACCCACCAGAGAGATGTCCCCGTCCTCTGTATTCCCGGGATTCCACACAGGAAGATCTCACCATCCCCCACCATGATCAGGTAGATAATTACCAATTATTATTAGTAGTGATAATTACTAGTATCGGTGCCGTACTCGCCCAAATGCTCCAATACTTACCTACTATATCGTAAGTTCCGGTCAGACGGAAGATATCCCGCTGACCGGCAGTGCCGAGGGAGCATGGAGCCGGCTTCCTTCCTCCAATCAGGAAGCCGAACGGTGGGTTATGACCAGCCTCCCGGCTTCCTCATTGGCTAGGAAGGCGACTTCACTTGTTGCTAGGCAGCCTGGCTTCCTGATCAATCAAGAAGCCGGGTGGCACCTCATGACCCGGCGCCATGCAGCCTCGGCAAGTGAAGCCGGTGTTCTTTCGATAGAAAACTGGCTTCCCAGGCAATCCGGAAGCGGGGCAGCTGGTCATGATTCGCCGCTCGACTTCCTAACAATTGGGGCATAAGGGGAGTTCTGGGAAAAATGGGTGCATCCCTCATTAGTAGATATGATTTGTACACAAGCGTGTTTGATACAATGATCGATTTATTATATATTCAGAGTGGAAACCTCGGGGACCATAATATCGAATGGTTCTGAACTCCTATGTCCCTCAGTAGATTCCAAGAAACGGTAAGTGCCAAAATCTGACTTTGCCATTCTGTTGGTTTAGGGTGAAGATCTGATGAAGGTGAAAGTTGAGGGTGACGTAGAAGAGACGTATGTGAGGGATGATCAGCGACATACGGAGGAGGATGGAATGATGAGGACACTCATAGAGGAGGACACTCCTACAGAGATCAACACAGGTGACCCATAATATATTCTTCTCTTACCTCTGCTCTGTTCCTGCACACTGATTGGTCCAGAGTAAGCCGGGATCTGAGTGATATCAGCCAATAGTAGGTTGGTAATGCTCAACTTCCTTTACTTCTATCCTGGGCAGTATTAGGTTAGATGTCACTCCTAGTTAAACTAGTACAGCTATGAGAACACAGATTTCCAGGTTGGTTCCTCTTCCTCGAGTCGACGTCTAGCTAAATATTAACAGAAACTCTTATTATCAGTCCTGCTGAGGTGAAAACTAAAGAGTAACAAAGACCGAAACCCATCCCTTCAGGATAAAACACTCCTTAAAGCTCCCTCCAGTGCTGCTTATCACCAGAAGTCTAGGCCTGTGGTCACTTGTTCTGTGGTGAAGGGTCTACAAGTCTGAACTTTGGTCCTCTTGTTCCTCAGAGATCACATGACCCAGTGCCTAGGCTTGTGGTTGGGTGAAGAGCATGCTCCTCCCAGTCCCCATTGGCTCCTCCTCTTCTGACAAGGCTGTATAAATGTAGTAGTGATCTGGGAGGAGGACCAAAGGCTCTTTGACTATAGAGGGGAGGAGTCCCGGCTGGTTGGGACCTCCACAGAGAACATCTGCTCCCTCAGACCTCCTGATCCAGATGGAATGTTGAGTGAAGTCATCTAACCCTCTCATATCTCTCCATCATGTGTTTCTATGTTTCCAGGACACGCCATGGAGAAACCCTCAAAGGATCCTCTGACTTTATCTCCAGGTTGTAAGATGGAAGATGAGGACATCACAGCAGATTGTGCGGGAGAAGAGACAATGAGCTCAGCTATGGATGGTGGACTTCACAGTGTGCATAGAGCATGGAATCCCTCTGACTCTGAGCAACCTCGTCCTGTGGGGGATGGTGCCGGCATTCAGGAAAAGAGATTTCCCTGCCCCGAGTGTGGGGACATTTTTAGATTTAAACTCAGCCTTTCTGTGCATCTGAGATCTCACAATCATGAGGAGGTTCATCCCTGTTCTCAGTGTGGGAAACATTTTCCTTGTAAATCACATCTGGTCAGGCATCAGAGATCTCACACGGGGGAGAAGCCGTATTCCTGCACCGAGTGCGGGAAATATTTTTCACACAAGTCTTCCCTTTCTGTACATAAAAGATTGCACACGGGTGAGAAGCCATTTTCCTGCCCCGAGTGTGGAAAAAGTTATACACAGAAATCAGAACTTATTGTACATCAAAGATCTCACACAGGGGAGAGGCCATTTTGTTGCCCTGAGTGCGGGAAAAGTTTTTCGGATAAGACCAAACTTTCCAGGCATCAGAGACTGCACACGGGCGAGAAGCCACATGCCTGCCATGAGTGCGGAAAATGTTACACACGGAAAGCGGACCTTGTTATACACCAAAGATCTCACACAGGGGAGAAGCCTTTTTGCTGTCCTGTGTGCGGAAAAGGTTTTTCACGAAAGTCCACTCTTGCTGAACATACATGCCACGCGGCGGAAAAGCTGTTTTCCTGCCCTGACTGCGGAAAATGTTATCCACGGAAATCAGAACCTCATAAACATCGGACATCTCGCACAGATAAGAAGGTCCAAGAGAACTTACCAGTTCAGTCTACAGTTCCCTGAGAGTAATGTATTTCTTACACGGAGGTGGCCTTCGCCTGGCAGTAGAAGTAGAGGGTCCCAGGCGGCCCCAGGCAGGCTCCACATAGGCGGGGCTGGAGGAGTCTTTGGCCCGGAGGTTCAGGTGGCAGAAGGCCACCCCACTGGAAAGGTAGTGTTCCAGAGCCTGTTGGCACAGTGTGCTCCGGGACTGGGTGTCACAGTAGCTCTGTGACTCTGTGGGGAGCACCAGGCAGACACGGTGTGATAGAAGCATAATACTCTGTAATAAAGGACTTGCTGATCAAATGATATCCAGATCCTCATACAAAGCACCCAAAACAAAGTTAACCAAACAGGCAATGCAGTACGGGAGGGAGCAGTTCAGGTCCCAGGAGGACAACCAGTTAGAGCTGACTGGAGACAGCTAATGCCAAGTGGTGTAACAATCGCCGTAGCGAACCCAGGCGGCCGCTATGGGGCCCGGGCACAGGGGGGCCCGGCCAGGGCCGCCTGGGTCGCTATG